TCAGCATAAAGGAACTAGAAATTTCATGGATTCTGAGACATGCTGGAAAAATGTATATTTTAATCTAGTTTGACAGAGAAAGTTGAACTTGAGCCAAACTTTGTCGTTTCAGTCCCAGGATTTAATTCTAGAATAGATGAAACATCCTAAGAACACAGGCACAGGGTGCTCACCACAATATTAAGAATCTATAGCAAGTCACACATCAAAATGGGTCTAGGAATCAGAAAATATAGGGTGTTATGTAGGTTTTGAATAAGCACTTTATTTTTTGAAGATGTAGACCCTCAAACAACTTCACCACCTTGAGAACTCTTTTGAAAATGAATAAAACTAATTGGGTCCTTTAAGGATCTATTTGGGAATTAAATATGTAACATATTCATAAATAACACCAGTATCAAAGTTTAGCCAGAAAGGTGATCAAATGTGTGGAATGTAACCGAATTGCTACAGATTAAATTTAAACAGACTATAAAGGATACCCAAAAAAACACCCTTTCTAAATTGGGGAACTTGGCAACATATAACAAGAGGAGATCCATCATAAAAGTGTTAGCTAGATACATAATTTATGTTTTTTTTTTCCTATTTTCTATCCAAATTGACAGTAACCACCAATGAGTAAAATATTTGGACCATGGGAGGAGCAAATAAGTCATGGCAACTATCCCATTGAACTGTAGTCATTTTTTTTTTCAAAGATGATTCTTAAGACTGTTTGGAGAAGGGTCTGCAATTAAATCAGCAAGTATCATAGTGTAATTTAACAATTCCCATATTTCAAACACTGGAAGCAATTCTGGATAAGATGAAGAGCTGAAGAAAGTATTTAAAAGGAGGAGTTAATGAAAGAAAATAAATATTATTGAAAATATCTCAAGAAAGCAAAGGGGGTCATTTGGAAAGTAATTTGGGTGGGTGGGAGTGCATGCTGAGATTTATTAAACTGACAGCACTTTAAAAATTGAAATAGCCCACCACCACCTCCAACGTATGTTCTCATAAAATATAGCTCAGGGTCCTCCGCTGAAAATGATTGACAGGGAAGTTCTTGGCAAACAAAGAGAAACAAATGGCTTCATTTAACATGGAGCTGATCTAAAGAATTAATTGTTGCAAGATCTGCTCGGTTTGTCATCCTGGAAGTTGTTTTAAAGAGAGTAACACCTTCCTAGGGGTTATCAATGAGTGACGACCCCCCCCTCCCCAAAAATCACAAAACCCGGCTGAGTAAAACTAACAGACTTGTGTTTGACAAACAGGGAAGCTGGGAGAAACAACAAGGATTAGAAATCCAGGCCACTAATTTCGTTTAACGACTTCTGGTGCGGAATGGCCTGTTCTACCAGGTAAAGCGAAACTGTGGGCCCGGGACGCATTGCAAAGTGTCTTTCGGAGTGGGAATCGTAGTCCTCCAGATGCGGTGAGATTCCCAACTCCTAAGCAATCTCAGCCAGCTTGAGCCACGAAGGTGAGTTCTGGGTGTTGGGATTCCGGCGCACCTGGAGTGGTACTACCTCCCCCCCCCCCCCCCCCCCCCCCCCAGACTAAGCATCCGAGAGCGCCTGGCCCACAACCGCCTTTGGGGATAGAAGCAAGAGGGGGCTGAGAAATAGGGAATGGCGAGAGGGGGGGGAGCAGGAGCCGAGGGCTGCCCCACTTCGGAGGGCCCAGCTTGGTTTGCGGGCCCACTGCAGGCTGGGAGCATCCTCCCTCCTCCAGCGAGCCGCACATGGCCAGCCAAGCGGATGACGGCCCCCCTGAGTCAGCCTGAGCTACCGCCCGCCACCGCCCACCCGCACCCCTCGCCGTCTGTCTCTCCATCTTGTGATATTTCATTCCGGAGGCAGCGAGGCAAATAAACGCGGCGCCAGATTGTGCAGAAGAGCCCTTCCCAGCCCTCCCGAGGCTCTCGAGAGTCCCTCACCGGCGCTGGTTGGCGGGGTCGCGAATTCGCGTCCTCCCCAGTCGAGAGAGGCGCGCGCGGGTGTGCGCGCGCGTTCCCGGGGCCCCAGACTTGCCCCCACCCCCACCCCCGTCCTCCGTAGCCCTGTCAATCAGAGACGCGCGTCCCTATAAATGACAGTCGCGGCCCACTCCGCTGTATTGGGAAGATGAGGTCATTTTACACCCCGAGTTCTTCGTTCTCCCCCTTTCCCACCCCCCCGTTACTTCATGCAGATTATGAGGATCCTGCGTGTACATTCTGCCACCCGAATTGGAAGAAAGAAAGATAAAAAAGAAAACAAAAAAGAAAGCTGGCGCCTTCCAAGTTAGAATAACTAAAGCTGTTCGTCGTGGGCTGGTTTTTGGTCAGAAGCGAACGCTTTGGTAAAGCCTAAATGTGGGTTTTGCCCGGATTTCAAGTGCGGTGGGCTGGTTGTGCGGGTGTTGCCCCCCCAAACTCACCAGATCCGCAAATCCTTCGTCCTCAGAAGCAACACAAAATACATGGGAAGCGTCAACCTCTAGTCATGTCCTGCTTTTTTCTTTTTTCTTTTTACTTTTAGGCTATGCTTATAGTTCTCGCCTTGGGCTAGACCTGCATGTCCCATTGAAGTTAGAGAGACTTACCAGTGAGTAAACATGCATTATCAACCAGTAATCCGAAATCCAGGGCCACACAGGAATAAATCGGAGTTCAACGGACCCTAATTCCAGGTTTCCTACTTGTCACATTAATAATAGGGAACACACAGAGAGGGACGTCGGTTCGAGTTGTTGATCTTGGCAACTATGGTCAGAAAGTGGGGATGGGAAGGAAGAGAATGGGAATTGTTGGATCGTCTTCCTCCGGAGGTGATGGACTGGCTGACTCCTACCACTCTCAGCCCAAAAGCCTGGGGCTGTGAGAAGCCATTTTGGCGTCTGCAGGACGCCTCTTCTCCCAGCGCCATTCCCGCGAGGTCAATTCAGATGCTCCCTTTTCCTCTACAGAGGAGGCTGACGTGAGATGGCCGAAGGCTCAAGGCAGCCAAAAGGGGGGGATTCCTACTGATGTTGTTGGATTGCCCTCTCCTCACCTCAAAAGGGGATTGGGAGTGAGATTTGGGGTAACTGTACTCAAACCCTCAAAATGGAGAGCACCAGATTGCCTACCCCTCACTCAAGTTCAGCTCCAGTTTAAATATCCCAAGGACCCACTCTTTTCTCGGCCCTTCGTGCACTTCCACCGACCTCACGGACTCCAAGGAGATTGGCTGTCGGCTAGAGTCCCGAAGTTCGCAGCCTTTGCGCCCAGCCAGCTTTCCTTTGGGACGGGCAAGGTTCCATCTTCACCTCCACTCACCCCTCTCCCCCGTGGCACTTGGCAAGTGAATTGGCCTGGAGCGATCGCACTAAATGATGGAGGAGGAGGAGGAGGAGGAGGAGGAGGAGGAGGAGGAGGAGGAGG